GCACGCCTCGCCCGCGTTTCGCGAGCAGGTGCGCCCCGTGCGCGAGGCGCTGCCGGCGCATGCGGCGCGCGAGATGGTGCTCGAGAGCGTGCGGCAGCACCGCGTCGTGCTGATCGCCGGCGAGACGGGGTGCGGCAAGACGACGCAGGTGCCGCAGTTCCTCCTCGACGAGGCGATCTCGCAGGGCTGCGGCAGCCTGTGCAGCGTCGTTGTGACGCAGCCGCGGCGTGTGTCGGCGATGGGCGTCGCCGCGCGCGTCGCCGCCGAGCGCGGCGAGTCGCTCGACGGCGCCGCCGCGGACGACGCGGTCGTCGGCTATGCGATCCGCGGCGAGCGCCGCGCGTCGCGCGCGTGCCGCCTGCTCTTCACGACGACGGGCGTGCTCCTGCGCCGCATGGCGTCCGGCGCGGACGCGGACCTCGCGTCGCTCTCGCACATCGTCGTCGACGAGGTCCACGAGCGCAGCATCGACTCGGACTTTCTGCTCCTGCTCCTGCGCCAGGTGCTCACGCGGAACCCGCGGCTGCGCGTCGTGCTGATGAGCGCGACGATCCAGGCCGACACCTTCACGCGCTACTTTGGCGGCGCCCCGTACCTCGAGATCCCCGGGCGCACCTTCCCCGTGCAGACGCACTACCTCGAGCACCTCGTGCAGGCGACCGGGTACCGCACGCCCCTCGCGCTGGCCCGCGACGACGAGCGCGCAGACAAGCTGTACGAGGCCAGCGCACTCGACCCGGACGCGGTGCCGACGGTGCGCGCGCTCGTCGCCTCGAGCCGCATCGACTACGGCCTGCTCGCCGCGGCGGTCGCGTACGCCGCGCAGTGCGCCGCGAAGATCGACGGCACGGGCTCGCTCCGCGGGCGCGCGGCGATCCTCGTGTTCTGCCCCGGCGTCGGCGAGATCCGGCAGGCGATGGACGCGATCGCCGCGCTGCCGATCCACGCCGAGCTCGCCGTCCTCCCGCTGCACGCCAACCTGCCGCCGAACGAGCAGCGCCGCGTCTTCCAGCCGGTCGGCCGCGCGCAGCGCAAGGTCGTGATCGCGACGAACGTCGCCGAGACCAGCATCACGATCCCCGACGTCTGCTACGTCATCGACACGGGGCGCGTGCGCGAGGCGCAGTACGACGCGCGCGCGGGCGTCTCGCGCCTCCTCGATACGTGGGCGTCGCGCGCCGCGTGCCGGCAGCGCGCGGGCCGCGCAGGCCGCACCATGGCCGGCGCGTGCTTCCGGCTGTACACGCGCGCGATGGAGGCGGCGCTGCAGCCCGCGCACTCGGCGCCCGAGATGCAGCGCACGCCGCTCGAGGGCGTCGTGCTGCAGGTCAAGGCCATCCAGCCGGACGCCAACGTGCGCACGTTCCTCGCGCAGGCCCTGGACCCACCGTCGCTCGAGGCGCTCGACGCCGCGCACACGCGCCTCGTCGTGGCCGGCGCGCTGCACACGGACGGCGGGCACGCCGCGCGCCTCACGCCGCTCGGCCGGCACGTCGCGATGCTCCCGCTCGACGTGCGCCAGGCGAAGCTGCTCGTCCTCGCATGCCTCGCCGGGTGTGTCGAGCCGCTCCTCCACGTCGCTGCGCTCGTCGCCGGCCGGCCGATCGTCGCGAGTGCCGCGGCACGCGACGACGGCGCGGCGCGCGCGCGCGCCGCGTCCCTGTTCGGCCGCAGCGACCTGCTCACGCACGCGCACCTCTTTGCGCAGTGGCTCACGATGCGCGCGGAGCGGCGGCCGGGCGCCGAGGTGCGCGCGTTCTGCGAGCGGCACGGCCTCTCTGCCGTCGCGCTGCAGGAGGCCGCGCTCACGCGCACGACCCTGCTGCAGCAGCTCGAGGAGACGGGCCTCGTGGACCGCGCGTACGTGCAGGGCTACCGCGCGCAGGGGCCCGCGTGGCCCGCGCGCGCGTCGTCGCTCGCGTACGACGCCCACAGCCGGCACACGAACCTGCTGCGCTCGCTGCTGCTCGCGGCGCTGTGGCCGTCGATCGCGCGCGTCGACCAGCCGGCGGCGCGGTACCACGCGTCCGCATCAGGCGCGGTGCGCAAGGACGCGCACGCCCGCGAGCTGCACTACATGGACGAGCACGACGGGCGCGTGTTTCTGCACCCGAGCTCGCTGCTCTTCCACGCGACCGAGAGCCAGTCCGGCTACGTGGCCTTCCTCAGCAAGAGCGCGCGCGGCCCCGCAGGCGAGGCGCGCACGTACCTGCGCGACATCACCGAGGTCCCGCTGTACGCGCTCCTCCTCTTCGGCGGGCCACTGCACGTCGACCACGCGGTCGGCGGCGTCCTCGTGTCGACCGGCGCGGCGGCCAGCGCCGACGCATGGGTCCGCATGCGCGCGAACCCGCGCATCGGCGTGCTGTGCCGCCAGCTGCGCCAGCTGCTCGACCGCATGCTCGACGAGGCCATCGAGGACCCCCGCGCGATGACCGCGCCGCACCACGAGCCGATCGTGCATGCGATGCTCGCCCTCGTACAGCACGACGGTCTCACTGCTCCCTAGCTACGGTAGTCGCACATACACCGCGCGCGGCGCGACGTGCACGGGCAGCTCCTGCGCCCCGCCCTCGTCCCACGCACGCAGCACCGGCAGGCGGCACAGGCCCGTGCGCTGCGGGTACAGCAGCCACGTGAGCGTCCGCGTCTCGTGCGGCAGGAGCAGCGGGAGCGCCTGCCTCGACGCGCCCGCGAGCCAGCACGCGTCCACGCGCTCGACCTGGAGGCGCGCGTCCGCGACGTGCTCGGCACTCGTGTTGTGCGCGGTGACCGTCACGCGCACCGGCGCGCCCACGACGCCGTCCGCGGGC